GAATTAAACAAGTTCTGATTTTTGTCTTTGGGATCTGGCTTGCACTCTTTTGGGGGTAGCAGGAAAGTCTGAATTACTGAAGAAGAAAATGAGGCCATGTTTCACAGCTGGTCCTCTTTATGAGCTGGCAAATCTTAGTGCACCCATATTTGTCCTTTAATTTAATCAAAATATGAATTTACAGCATTTTTTGATCTCAAGTTGCTTAAGAGATGTCATGAATTGATTGTTCTAACTTGGAAGTGATGAAGCGTGAGATTAAAGGAGAGTGCAATTACCCCCTTTCCAGAAAATATTACATGCTGTGTAACACCCTCAGTAAAATATAAGACATTTTCAGTAATTCTAGAAACAGTTTAATTTGTTTGTGGTAAAAAGGGTGAAAGTGTCCAGGTGCTGTTTTTCTGGCATCTCTGAGTGCTGCAGCTGAGGTGAAGTCTCAGTGGAAATTTGCTTCAATTTCCTAACAAACCAAGGGAAGAGTTGGCGTCAGCTGGATCATTCAAGGGGCATTTTCTCGTGCTATTTCAATTTCATGAATTCATGCCAGTTGTGGAACATGTTCTTATAGGGATGTATGGTGGAGGTTATTTTTATAGGAATGTTTTCCCTTGGAAATTCTAGCTTTAATGAAGTCTATTGGAAATAGCTATTAATTTTTTTATAGCTTTTCAAAATAGTTTAATAGAGTTTTTTCCTAGCCTGTACAAAATCTGGTCACCATTTGTGGATGTGATGGTGACCAGACCCTTGCTGTCTTATTTAAGTAAAACAAAATGGGAAACCTAATGTTGCTCCAAAACAGTCTTTAAGCACACTACATAATTACTTGATCAGTGTGTAATTACAATGTTATGAGTTTTATATAATTAGGATTTTATGGACATCTGTGATATAATTTAAGAATATATTAATTTATTTACATAAAAAGCCTATTCTAGGAAACAAGCCTTTAATCAATAACTGTGGTAAGTAACAAGAATATATTATACATAGGCATTCAGCAAATGTCCTGGAGGGCTGCCTGCCTTTATTTAAAGCCTTTTTTGTACAAGCTGTTGCAATGGGTGAGGGCAGACCTATATTTAGAGCTATGGCTTGTTTGGGTGTAAGAGTGAGGTTGGGTGGGCAGGGTCCTGGGTGAGTCTGCTCCATTGCAGTGAATCCAGTGGGGCTTCCCAGATTTGCAGGGTGCTGGGCAGCAAACCCTCCCCAAAGGGTGGGGATGGGGACATCCACCTTCTTGGAATGGGTCCCCTGTTGGACCATGGCTCTTTTTCTTGTGTATGGGGATTGCTGGTGTGCCGTGATGAGAGTCTTGTAACTCCAGTCCTGCTGCTTCAAGGCAAATGCAGGAATCCCTTCCATAGCATAAGGATGTATTCTTGGCACACACATCCCCAGATCACCTGAGGTTTGGGTTTTGAAGGCTGCATATATTTTACAACATCAGTGCCTTAGCTGTAAACAGAAGTTCCTTATTTTTAAGGAAGATCAAAAACATTCCAGAATTCAGACTTGATAAGTCTCTTTGCTTTTATTTTGAAATATCTCAAGGCTTATCAAAAGTTGTTGATGCTTAAATTTTGCTTAGTGTAAAGTCACTTGATATGATACAGGTTTCAATTTTTTTTTCTTTTAGTTAGAAATTCTGATTTTACAAATGCCAGAGGATTAATGAAGAGGCCTATATTCAGTTTGAATGACATTTGGAAATTGTTCTGGTTTTGCAGTGTTATCCTCCTGGTTTAGTACAGGTTCTACTTTCTTAAATGTGCTAAATAATTGGTCAGAGTTGACTGCAAGACAGCATAATGTCACTTTTGGAAATAGTGTAGATCAGCAATTCAAGAATAATGAGAAACAGAACAACTTTGTGGATATATCATTATGCATAATGTGGAATGATGCATTTTGAGTAGGTGAGCTTTTGGCAACTGAGTTCTCATCTACATCTCACATTGAATGAATGAGTTTCCCGGAATTAATTTATTTTTTTATGGATGTTTTTCTCCTTATTCCTTTTCCTTTGTGCTGGTTATTATTCTTGGGAATCGTTTTTCCATCTAAGAAACTACATGGGAGGGGCACACTGGTGATACTTGAAACATGACAGGCTCACAGCTAACTAACTTCTTGTGTGTCTTGGGCTGATGGGAAACTGTTTGTTTACTTTAATATGGTTGGGAATATTGAGGCATGGTGGCCTGAATAGTAGAATTTTTTCATGTGACTGCATTATGTAAATGCAGAAATCCCTGCATCCTGCCTGGAGCTGCAGTAGCAGAAGAGTTAAACCCTGGGGTTTGGAACCTGAGGTGTGAATTCTTGTCTCCTTCCAGGCTCACCATTTGGCTGCCCTCCATGGGACCAATTGTAAAACATAACCTGGTGGTTTGACCTGGGAAATTGGAGGCTCCCAGAGGGGAGCTTGTACTTGTGACTTTAGAAGTTGGAGAGCTTTACTGTTTATTGGCCATTTCACCTATAAACCATATAAGGTTATGCTTCATAACTCTTTTTTGTATACAGTCATGTTTGAGGGCTGTGATCTGCTGGTGCACCTGTGTATGAGCTGACTCATTTACTACCCCTGCTCTACTCTAAGTTTGGGGTGGTTGGGAAAAGTCAGCAACTTCTAGGGAGGAACAAAGAACTCAGAAGGTTCTTGAGAGACTGTAGGAAATATTGAAGCCTTTCTTTTCCTGTCCTTATCCTCAAATAACAGTGACTTCCTCAAACGACAGTGGTGTACTCAGTTCTGTATAAAATTTTTCCTTCTTTTCCTTTCCTTCTAAGTGGTCTCACCTTCAAAGACTTTTTGATCTTGAACACAGATACAAAAACAACCCGAGCACTGAAAGATTCCTGGCAAGGGAATAGTTCTGAGAAAGAAATAAAATTCTTAACCAGACAGTCATGTGTTTATTATTGTTGATAGACAGTGCCATGCATTTTCCAAGATTCGTTTTTAATTGGACTATGAGGCAACCAGGGGCTATTTTTAGTTTTAATTTGGAAAATCAGTGAGTGTGCAAAGAGACCTGTTAATGTTGTGTGCTGAAGTACTAATAGTAGAGATGTACTAACAGTGAGTAGCTGGTGTCACCTTCATGGCCTGGAGCTGGGGGGAAGCAGAGGTTATTTTACACAGCTGTGTGTGTCAGCCCAGAACTGTTCCTGCCCATGAGCAGCAGGTTCCTTTCCAATGTGTTCCCTTAAAAAAATTTATTTTTTGAGACATGTATTAGAATTTTAATTTAGTTAGATAAACCATTTAGTGGATCAATATTAACCTGAAAGCTTAAGGAAGCTTTAGGATGTAAAGAAGGAAAAAGGATCTCAGGGCAACTTTTCACCAATTTTTTGGAATGGTAACCCATTTCAACTATGTCTTGCTATCCTGAGCTATGGTGAACTTTTGTCTCAAATTTATGCTCTTGTTTGAATATTCATAACTTCCATGCCAGAGGGCCTGCAGAGCTTCATCTGCTGTAAATGGACCCACTCGTGCTCTGTTTTCTACAGGCTGCATCTGTGCTCCCCTTTTCTTCAGTATCTCTCTGTTCTTGTTTTTGTTCATTCGTTTCAGATATGTTTCTTTTAGTGCTCTAAGTTCTCTCCCTCATTTATCTCCTGAAATTTTGCTACTTTGGCTAGTTGTTATTATTCTGTCATTCAATCCCTTGTGTGGTACTTGAGAGCATAATCTTCTAACCTAGTTTACATTACACTGTCATTATGAATTATTAATGTTCTAAAATAAAATCTTCAAGCCGTAATCTTTGCTGTGGTGAAAGAGCTCTGTGTGCTTTTGTTTCCTCCCTGTTCTCCCTGTCTTTTCCTTTCTTCAGACCTTTAGGTCTTTAGAGCAGGGATGTTATTGATCCAGCCATCTGGGAAAGACTTGCTGTGCACTGAAAATGGCATTGTCACATCTCTGGGCTGAGATGGGCATTTATTTATATAAACACTAAAAAGCTGTTTTTGAAAGTAATTATTTTGATTCTCATCAAAGACATGCTGCACAAGTAGAAGTGATAATGTATGTTTGGGTTATAGCTTGCCTGAGAAGGTGAATATTATTTTTTGTGCTCTTTATTACATTTTTGTTTTTGTTCCTGAAATTCTCACTTCAATTTGTGAGCAGATGAGAAATTTAAAAGAGCGGAACAGGCCAAGTTATAATTCTCAGCAAATTTTAAGGCAAAATTTTCCACTGAAAGACAAAAAGTCCCTGCTAGCTTTCCTCCACGCTTCATTTTAATGCAACCGCTCGCCCGTTCTGCTTCCGAGAGACTGGAAGATTCCAGAATCGCCAAACGCCCAATTCTCCGAGTGAACCAACGCACCGATATTGACCAGGAGTGTTCCTTTAAAGTCACGAGTGTGTGCATTGCCCTCTCAGAGAACTTGCAATTAATTAGTCGGAGCCAAGCGCAGTTGATTAGAGCTGCGTTTGTCATTGGCATGGAGGAGCAGCCCTTGGGACGTGTCCCAGCCTGTGGCCCATGGCTGAGCGCGCACGGCCTGCGCTCCGGGCGCCATGGATCCCAAAGCCGGGACCCGTCGCTTCTGCAGCTTCGCCCTGCTCGCCAGGAGCGAGGGCAGCTGCCGGCTGCGCCGCAGGACGCCGCGCTCCGTCTTCTCCATCGTGCTCTTGTAAGTGTTGGGGAGCCAGGGCAGCGCTTGGCGGGGCGCTGGCTCTGCAGGAAGGCAGCTCCGCACACACACACGCAGGTGCTGCTGCTCCGCTCGCCCCATCTCTGCTCTCCGAGCCTGGGTGTTGCGCTAAATCCTTTGGCCGGCTGGAAATAGGATTTGCTTTTCTTACTGGCTGCGTTTTAATAGGTAGTGCAGAAAATGTTTTTGTTAGAAAATATTTTTTGAAATCGTGTACGTTTGTGCTTAAATTTAATTTTTTTTTCTTTCCCTAACCTATAAAATATGTATAATGCTACATCTCCTAATAAATATTTGGAAGAAAAGGAAATAAAGTGAATTCAAGATGGATATTTTCGTTTATTAACACTTTTTCATTTTCTTTATGTCTGAGATGGCTTAAAAGGTCATTGGTGAGCTAGGTTATGAAAGTAATTTTTTTAAAAACTAAGCAATTTTGCTATATATTTTTATTTCTAGCTCTATTATTTAGATTTATTTGTGCCATTTTAAATGCTGGAGTAGAATGTAGTAAGATATAGCATTGCAAACTGATAGATTTTGGTTTTAGTATTTCAACATGGATGTATCTCTGGAGACTGCAGAAATCATTAGGAGTTTCATATCTGTCCATTCTGTACTTTATTTCAAAGCTGAGAATTCAGTTTGAGCCAATTTATCTTAATTTATTAAATGTTGTTCTCTGTTTGAACATTTATGTCTCCACTTATATATAGGTAGACACGCATGTTAAAAGTTGTATATAAATGTCTTCATTCAAGACTTTCTACATAATATATGTATTTTAGGAAACCCTGGTTTTGTAATGAATCATCTTTGTGGGTTTCTCAGAATTACAGCAGAACAGTTGATAGAGTTGTATCTGTCTGCAGTTATTTAAAAATCTGTGGTCCAGGCTTGTTCTCATGTTGGATCTGTTCGTATGTTATATATTTTTCTGAGGCTCACAACCTGGAGTAGCTTATTTGTCTGACAGTTGATGATATCTTATCACAGTTTTCCCAGACTTTAAGATTAAAAGCTAAACTTTTGCTGTGAAGATTCATAGTATTCCAGAGGAATGGCTAAAATAGGGGCCAATTTATCTTAAAAATGTATGTCCATATAAGGATGTAATTCTGCCTTTGAAACTAGATAAACTTTTTCTCCTTTTTGTGTGTGTGTGTGTCTACCAGCACCCCTGATGTTTCCCAAGCATGGTTTTGATTTCTCATGTCTCTTTTGTACCATGCTTATTTTGTAAAGTCTATTCTTATCCCATGCTCTAACTTCATTAAGAATTTATGCTTGAAAATGTAAAATTCATCCTCTTCGTCTGTTCATTACATTAGCATTCCCCTTGCTCCCAGAATAACTCTTCTTAGCCAACATCCTACAAAATAAGCTTTTTGTCTCAGAAAAGCCATGGTAAATGCAAGAGCTTTACAATATCCTTAACATTTCAGCTGAGCCTAAGTGTGTTAACCAGGGAAAGAGGAAAAAAGCTGTGCAGTGGAACATCCTGCACCGGAGATTTGGGTTGGAGCAGACAACCTGAATTATACTGAGAAGCAAATCAGATGCCAGAGCTTGTTTTAGAGTTCAGGCTTGATTTGGTCTTCTGGGTAATACACTGTGAAACAGGTGACAGCACTCCCTGCCTGCTGCTCACCACGTGTGCCCTGAGCCTGGCAGCACCACAGTGATCCTTGGCACAGGCTGCTGCCCTGGGATGTGTGCTGGGGGTTTGTGGTCCTGCATGGATGAAGGGAGCCCTTTTTGCTTTTGTGAGCTGGTAATTGAGAGCTGAGTAACTCAAAGCCCTCTAATTCACTCACTGAAATACAGCTCAGTTCCCTCTCTTTGTTGTTTGCTTTGTTCATTTTACCTTAATTATTTGCCTATAGTCTTGGTTTAGTTTTAGCCATCCACTGGTACTGCTTCTTCAGTCCTTACTGCCTATGAAGTCTCTCAGCCACATTTGCTGCTACTCTTAACCCTGATTTGTCCTTTAGGCTCTGCATTGTAGCTTCTCAGTAAAATGGGGGGAATAACACCCACTTTTTGAGATCTGCTTTACTTTGTTGGAATGGTTATGGACCATGTCTGCCATGGACTGTGTGTTACAGCTCCTTGGGATATGGGGACAAACCCCATATTACAGGAATTAGCAGTAGCCTCGTGGTGTTACTCAAGTACAGGGAGTCAGAGGTGGAAACACTGCAAGGAGCTGAAGTGCTGTACTTCTTCATGGAGAGGCTGCTGCAGGCTGGAGTGGCAGGAGAAGAGATTAAGCTATTTTCCTGTTTGCAAATCCAGTTGCACAGTGAATTCATTAAGACTGTATTACAGGTTAAAAAGGAAGTTTTAAGTGCTTTGGGATTAATAATACATGACAAAGATGAGGAAATGCTGTGGTGGCAAGAGGAGGCTCAATCTATGTTTTTTGCTTTGGATAAATTTTGGCTGGTGAAGAGGAAGGAGAACCTTTGGAGGAGGATGTTGGGGTTACAGCAGCACTCTGTGAAGCTGTGTTTGTTGTAAGTAGTACCGAATGTCCTGAACTGCATTTTGGATAAAGCGTTAAAAGATTTCTGTGTAAACAGGAAGTGACATTTTCAGATCTGATTTTCAGTATTGTTGTTTTTCAAATAACATTTCTCAATTTTTATGGCATTTGAATCACATATGGAGGTTACATTTGATTAAATTGGACAACTGACATTTGAATCACACATGAAGAAGGCTGGGCGAGGGAAAGAATGCAAGATCCAGTAACTTATTTAAAGAGGATAATTGACCTTTTCATGGCATCTGAGCCCAATTGTCAAGTCTGTGAGTTTGAAATTATGTTAAGCTTATGTTGTATCGGAGTAGCTGAACATCTTACTAGTGTTACTTGGGAAAGATAGTATTGCATGGAATATTAACATACTAATAAGTGATATTTTTGTAAATAAAAATGCAAAGAATATTTCTTATTCAATGCTCATAGGATTTGGGGAACAATTAACCTGTTTCTTAACATTGCTCACTTACCACTTATTTAGTAGTACCTTCATTTAAAAGATTGTAATGATGGAGCTGTAGTTGGCGTCCTCTATATCTGAGTGAGTACAATTTTGTGAGAGTTGTTTTAGATTGAAATCAGAGCAGTTGCTTGTGCTTAACTGTGCAGTGATATTGCAGTGCATTAGATAGCATTTCAGGCTGTCCTCTAGGATGGCAACCCCCATTAGTTCAGTAACTGTGCCCAATTAAAGTTACATGAGGAGTTGGCAGCTTCCATGCAGGTGCAGTGCCTGATAGCTGCTTCAGTAAATGTTGCTGATCCTTTGAATCATTAACTAGTGCAGTCATCAGGATGTTCCCTGCATAGGGAACGCACACCAGAGGGAAGTTTAGTTGTTCTTCACCCCCAAAACCCTTGGTCATCTGCTGTTTGTTTAATCTCATACAGATATGTCTTTGGGAGCCCTTTTATACAGGGGCTGCAATTGAAATCCATGGGAACCATGGTAGTAACAGAGAATGGCTCTTTAGATCTGGAGTGGTGCCTTGGTGATTCCTGCCCCAAAAGGAAGAAATCTATGGTTTTATAACTTAGCAAATGATAGAAAAGTGAACCTTGAAGATACATTAAACCTCTTATTTTCTGTCAGACTGTTGCTTAGGAGTCTGGCAATTGCAGGCGGCTCAAAGACAGTCTGTTCTTCACTTGCTTAGGTCACTGTTCAAATAATAATGATGCCCCAAATAGCTCAACACACATCTCCCATGCTTTTTTTTTTTTTTAAAGGAACCTTCCTTTTTGTTTTCAAAGCATAACAACTTTCTCCTTTCTCTCTATTGCAAGATCGAAGTTTTCTGCTGGAGTTTTTACACCTTACACACTTGGCTCTCTGTATGGTGATACTGAGCAGGTATCGTCACCTGTGTTAACTTATGCTTACTTATAGTGGAATAATTTTCTGTGCTCCTTGGGCATACAATTTAAAGTTTAAAATTAGTCAATATGCTCTTTATAGAGATAGAATGTGTCTACTTGTGTTGTGACTTCTCCAAAGATTTTGGCTTTACTAGCAAAATGACTTTAATTTCTCCATATTTCTAGTGAATAATTAATGGATTTCAGTCTAATGACTATTAAAAAAAGTTATGTCTCCAAGTATCATGTTTTTATGTGAAGCTTAATACAATGTAACCATGCAAGTGACGGCATAATTAGCAGGAGATAAGTTTTTCCCAGTAGTATTTCAACTGGTTTCCATTACAAGTTTTCCTTTACCACAGTGTAACTCGTGAAATTCATCTTCATTTGAAAACTACTGCACTATTACATGGTTCGTCCTGGTTGAAGTGTTTAAAAATATAATCAATACTTTGTGAAAACTTTTCTTGATACATAGTCAACTTAAAATGCAGTCAGTCACAGGAGTTTTGATCTTTGAGATATTCTTTTTCAAAATTACCTCATTGATCTGCTTGGTATTGCTTCAAACTTTTCAGGGAGTTTGGCTTACTTTTAAAACGACAGATTTTATTTAAAAGAAGATGATCTTACACCAAGGAAATTTATTTAATGATAAATGTAGCTGCTATTAAAAAATTCCAGAAAGCAATGGGTTTCATGTGGACTGTTTGCCTAATTGCATTCTCATTTAATGTCAGGCTTAATTAATGTCCTACTTTAGTAATGGTAAAAATGAGAAATAGGGAAAGTCGTTGACACTGGCTATTTATAACTGTCCAGTGGATGCAGTGTCATTAGGAGGGCTCTGGAAACTGTACATTTGGTTGACAGAGAAATACTCCATCATCACAGGAGCTGCTGAAATGTTCTGCAGGTGGTCTTTTCAGAGAACAAGTTGGGCATAAAAAAGGGAAGGTGCATTAGGAAGATTGATGGAGACTAAATATCCTGAAAGGCGAGTGGGAGAATGTTACAAAGGAAGAGGTTTCTTTAGGCTTGGAATAACTCAGGGTCTGGAATTCACAAAGAGATGTTAATGTTATTATGAGTTAAACAAGATAGAAAACTTGTAACCTATTTGTATGAATGTGCTGTTGACAAGTTCTCTCATATACAGATATGGTATATTTTTGAATTGGTGAGAAGTTTCTGGTCCAAATTTTCCAAAATGTTTTGCTGATTGTGCAGAGATAGTAAGGCAGTTCCTTTGAAGGATTTCATTTGTCATTGTAGGTGTGAGAAAATCCTTCCTATATTTGTTGCTGCTAAAGACAATTCTGCAAATGTTGACACTGTCATATTTTAAGACATGACTTATTTTAAAAGCTTTTTCATGGTTTGTGTTCTTCTGTTTTTATAGCAAAAACACTGCATCTCCAAGTGTGGTGTCTTCACAGATTTTTTGGGTACTGTGAACTTCTCAGGAATCTCTGGGTACCAAAATGAGTGCTTTGCAAGCATTGATTTGCAGGATTAGAGTTTGTTACTTCCATGTGGAACAGGCATTTTGAAAAGCAGGAATATAAAGAGTTAAAATAAATTTCTGCTGTTTTTGAACTGGTGTTATGTAATTCTCAAAGTGCTTTTTGCAGTTCTTGGGTAAAAGCTTTGTAGAATTGTGTTAAATGGTAATATGGGTGGATGGATGTGTTTCTGATGATAGCAAACACCCCATCCCCTTCCCTGCTTGGGGTGCCCTGTGTTCCCCAGGAGCAGAGAGGATGGGCAGGGTTTAGCTGGATTAACATTGCTGTAGGGCTGTCAGTCACTGATGCCCATAGAGAAATGTTCTCCTAAAATGGCTTCTCCTTTTTGTGCCCTTCCTGCAAGAGATGTGAAAGTGCTGCTGCTGAGCACAGTGATAATGAGTGATATGTCTTCAACTACTGAGCTTTTCAATCATTTTTGTAAAAAGCGTGACTAATACAGATTTAGGGGTGTTAGCTGATTGTGATCTTATTTGCCAACTATAAGCAGTCAGGAATTTATTTCTGCTGTGATAGGTTTATTTTGTTAGTTAACTGAACACTTTTTTTCCACCATTATTGCTTATGAATTTCAATTCATATTTTAGCTGACAGAGTAAAATTTTCATACCAGTTTAAATTGGAATTGGAAGGTCATATAATATCCTGAATATAATTCTAAAAGGCTAGCGCTCAGTTTCTACTTTATTGGTATATGGTATTATGTGGGCACAAAAACTAATGTGTTTATTCTTTCTCATCAGTGGCACAGTTTAGTTCAGTTGTACTCTAAATTAACTTTGTGAAATCAAACCAGTATGTGATGTAGATTGACTTTGTAAAAACGTTTAAAAGTGGTAGAAAAGATGGTTCTGTTGTGCAGAAAGTTTAAAAATCCCATTTGCCTGTTTTAAATTTTAGATGGAAGGGAATACTTTGGTCAGTCAGATACTGCAATTCTTGATAAATGTATGTATTAAAAAGACGTAATTATTTAATGGAAGATTGTGAAGACCGTCTAATTCTTCCATGAGATTCTGTGGAGAGCTAAAACAAGTCTAGTGGGATTTCTTTCTCCCAGACATTTCTGTGTATTTTTTGGGGGGCTATATTGTGCTTGGAAGGCTGTGCCAGCTGTTGATTGTCATCTTTCTCATGTCTGTGATAAAAAGCCACTCAAGAAAGCTGAAATATGAGAACGTCATTAGCTTTCCTACTGGCAGAAGTGCTTAAAGAAGCCGCAATAGAAAGAAAATAGATTGCATACTGAAATTAAAAAAAAAAAAAAAGAAGGCGGCTCCAGTGAGGTTTTGTTTACACCCCAGAAAAAGCAAATCATGGCAAGAGGTTTCTACAGGCACGAAGGGTAATAGTGAACGTGTGGCTGATGTGCAAAGGGAGTGTGTGGGAAACCTCTGATGTGCATCACACGAGTCCTGCTTGTGTTTTATTGTCAAAATTCAGCTGATTGAGTTGTTTTTGGGCACTAGGTGCTATATAGGAGTTTGTGTTTACTGTGACTGACGTGGATCTGGTGTGGTTGACTTCAGGGGGAGAATGGATTTCTGCTTTTATACTGATCTTAGGAGGCATTGGAAGCTTTTTTTTTTTTTTTTTAAATTTAAAAATTTGCTTGGGTTACTGAAGATGAAAGATGGGATTCGTTTAAAGGTGAGAGATTAATTAGGAAAAAGAAGCAAAATGCCCCTGATGTGCCTTATGTAGTTAGGAAAAGAAGAGCCACCATGTCAGAATAAAAACACAAACTAGGCAGTCAGTGGTGCTTTCTGTGCAGACACAGCTTAAACCCCCCTATGTTATTCACGACTGCAAACAGTGCCCAGTTATGGTTTTGAAAACACTGAAAACATTTTGTTTGTAATTAGATGAACACAGAGAGACGTATAGAAAGCATGTATGCTGAGAATTCAGCAAACTCCAGGTTTAAAGTGCATATATTAGGAAGAGAATAAATATCTCATTTTGCACTGCCTCCTAAGGTGGAGGGAGGGAGGCAGGGATGGAGCAGGGAGAAAACAGAGGCAGTGGAAACAGCAGCAATATGTACGCTTGCCTGCCTGTCTCACATTAATGGAACAGCTTGCAAGGTCTACAGGGAATTTGCATTGGCTCTGTCACTGGTATTATTTAGTTCCTTATTTATTGCTAGTGGCTTGATTGTGCTGTATTTTCCCAGCAATGAAAGCTTTTAAAGATCATGTCTGACTCCTTTTGGACAGTGCTGTCCAATTTCTCTCTGCCTGCTACCAGCATGTTGAGACGATCCAAAAGGTAATCTAAGGATTTTGCGAGTAATTCTTACGATGTTTTTCTAAGCTACTTGTTTTAATATTGTTTAGTCTTGCTTTTTTTTCCTGTTTTAACAGATTGACTCATATTCCTAGTACGTTAGATATGATTTCTTAATTTCTGAATGATTTGTAATTGTATTCATTGTAAAAATCATACTGTGCAGATCCACCGTTCGTTCTTTATAAAGATATTTATTTAAAGGCATTGTTCCTTCTCATACTATGTGAATGTGATAAGGGGTTTGTTTCTACAAAATGATGGATAGATGCTTACTGGGAGGAAGCTGCTTTATTATTTGAAGTAGCAAAACATTATTGTGTTGAAATAGGCAGCACCATGAAAGACTTGCAAATATTTTGACTTACAGCACTTACAATCTTTACTGAGATATGCATAACCTTAAATTTTAAATAATGCTTAATACATTTAGCATCTTTTTTTTTATTAGAGATGTGAATATGTTAATGTAGCAGTTAATAAGATGAGTGTTTATGTTTACCCTACTCTCTGGATTTTGATAAAATCCCATTGAAGTGTGTGAACTAATGAATGGTATCAGATCTGATGCAGTACAGGGGTGTCCCTTCAAGACTGGGAAATATCAACATAATTATCGCTCATCAGGTGCTCTGTGGAGCTTAACATTTGTAGCCTGAAAACTTACTGGTGAGACTGGTAGGTAGCTAATCCTGACTAAAGCCGTATATTCAGATTTATGAGTAAACAGTTGCAGCTGGTACCAGAATTTCTCAGCAGCTGGTTTATTGATACAGTTAATAATCTATGTAAGACTCAGAATATAAGCTTTGGCTTAGGTTTAGGGTGAATTTTGTTCATTAGCTATCAGAAATTATATTAATCTTTTATAGAGGATTGTAGCTTCTACCAACTAATATTTCGGGGGACTCTTCATTTTTTGTTATTATTCCACACTTGTGATTTAAATTTTATCAAAGTTGTGTTCTATGCTGCCAGTGACTTTTAGAAAGCTTAGTGGCAACGAAAAAAGATTTTGTAAATAAATAGGGGTCTTAGTTGTCAGGGATTGCATTAGCAATGTTATTCTTTTCAAAATAGTTGTCTTTAGCCTGTTTTTTAAAGTAGAAGAGTTCCTTGAGATTCAGGTTGTATTGATATCTCTGCTCCAAGCAGTAACTTTCACACCCATTGAGCAGTTGTAGCAGTGGTTTGATAGTGTGATAGAAGTGATAAAGCTTTGTATTTTGCTACAGATTTCTTGAACTTGGCTGGGGAGAGGAAAAGGAGGCAAATTATTCTCCTGTGCCTCCATTTCCAAAGACTAAGGTAGGTTGGGCTTGGCTTTCAGGTGCTCTTGGCCACCAACCTGTGAGCATGGGAGCAGCCTGGGGTAATGAGACCTGGCTGGCTGTGGGAGCCAGGGGAGCTGGGCAGGGCCAGCAGCAAAGGAGCTGCTTTAGGGCAGGTGAGGGAGGACACCTGTGAATCAGAAAATAACCTGTGTTAGACCTGCCCATTCTGGATCCTTTTATTACTGCTGCCTGCACAACTTTGCTTTCCTAAAGCTCCTCCATGCCAGACAATGTCCAGTGTGCCTAAAGGTAGTATTTTGTGAAAATTCAGCAATAATATTCTTCCAAATAGAGTGGACACCCACAGTGTCTTTCATAACAAAAATAAAGCATCCTTGTTTATCAATATCTTGTTAGTGTGCCATTTTGAATTTACAATTACGCATCAGGGTCAGAAACAATTTGAGTGATACTAACAAGGTTTCAGGTGTGATGTTTTGTCAAAAAACTCCTACACAAAATTTACAATTCCATTTATTTGTTAGTAGTCGAAGTACATAAAGAAAGAAATTGATCTGTAAATCCGCTGAGCATCTTAATGGAAAATAGATGACTTTTTATTGATTTAATCACATAAACGAGTATTAGGTATTTCAAAATGATCAAACAGCACTATGAGTATTCATAGCAGAGAGCTGCTGCACGAAGTCATGTGGTGGAAATCCTATTTTGCACAGGCTGGAAACCACAGCCTTCAGCCAGCCTCAGAAATGAAATATTTGAGCATGTGTGACAGTTTGCTGGGAATATCACCTTCTGCCGAGCCGGGCTGGCAGCCTGCCAGCTCTTTGCCTGCTGTCTTGGGGGAGATGGGTGGGCAGGTTGGGCTGGTCTGAGGAATATTGTGATAAATCACTGTAATAATGTAATTCTTGCCAGACTATCTGTCCTGAAATCCTGTGTCCATGTATGCAATGACTGCTCCTGAGAGTGGTCACTGTGCATGGAGTGCATTGCAGTGCCATGACCTGAGTGTTTCTGTGTGCTGATATTCTCAGGATTGTGGCATCTGGGCACTAGGAATGGACTACTTCATCATTAAGTAAATAAATAATTATTTTCCAGTTTTAATTGGTCCCCTTTCAAAGCACAGTGTTAACTTCTTAGTGCCCTTCCTTTAAAAATTATGATTTCAATTTAAATTTCTCGTGTAGTTTCGCCATCTTGGTCATGTTTAGCAATAGAGAATTTTTTGCTGTAACAAATATTTGATACAGTTTTCCTCTGCTCTGTTTGTAAAACTTCTGTTTACAAGTCCCGTTGCATTAGTGGTAGCTTGTGTGCTCTTAATTCAGGGCTTCTCTGCTTTGGATTTCTCTCAGTTTTAATTTGGTTTCACATTGCAAGAAAGGGTTACTTGTGGTATTCTGACTACTGAGCTATGGCACATTTCTCTATAATGGCTTCTGATATGTACTAAAAATCCTAGAGGGCTTGACTCCCATATGGCTTCTCCTACATTAGGAGGCAAATGGGAAGGACTCCTCTTTCTCCTCGGTGCATTTTGTGGAAATGAGCTCTCTGGTGCAGCTGGTGGGATTCTCGCCGCAGCTAATGGCTCTGGAAAAGTGAACCATCTGCTGCTCCGGTCAAAGTGGCTGCATTGTTTCTTCTCCAACGTATTCCCAGAAGGATAGAGAAAGTCAAGAGCAAACTGTAAATACATAAGTTTCTCATGGGAGGGGTGACATAAACATAAATCACATTTACCTGTCAAACTGGTTCTGTATAAATATTTATGAGTTTAAACTATAGGAGAAATATGAGAACTCTTTGGTTCAAAGGGCTGGTATTCTGATATCAGCTCTACTGAGGCATTGCCTATTGAAATTGGATTATGGAAAGATAAAGCATTATTATGACGTATTTAAATTAAATGTCTCTGGATTTAAGTCCTCCTGTTTCTTTACACTTTGGGTGTATCTTGAATATACTCTTGCGATTTGATATTAACTGCACTGTAGAATTGTGCAAGTGAATGTTTGTTGGTCTTGGAAAACTGACTTAGAATACTGATTTCTAATGTTTCCTCATTTATTCATTTTAATCTTCTCTGTGTGGAACAGGCTGTGACTGTGAGTTTTAATGATTTCACTTTTGTTTAGTGACTTTCTCTTTGCAAAGTTAAGATGGGAGATTTGTGTGTTGAAGTGCCTTGCAAGGTAATTCTGGAGGATGAAAAAGGTGGATTTCTGTGAGGAAGGACATCCTGGATTTGTATCTACAATTGTCATTGATGCTTTAATTCTCTTTCCTCTTCTCCCTTCAATGAAAGAACTTCAGTGATACAATAATTGGTTAAAATCACAAGAATTAACTGCTTATAAAATGTAAAGCAATCTTTAAGTAGCAAAACACCTCTAACATCAGTGATTCTATGGAAATAATTGTATTTCATTACAAACAGTTCCTTGGTAACTAAGAAAAATGCTATTCATTATTGAAATAGTCACAAACAGTAAGAGAAACCACCTTTCACTGGGATTTAAATGAGTGAATGGAAATAATCAGGTGGCCAAGAACACATAAATGGTGCTTTCTGATGCACTGGTGTTTTCTGATAACTTTTCAGTTGCTGTAACAGCCCCACATTAGGCAGTGAGTCCATACATATCCCCCCAAATATATTCAGTGTCTTTTTTATGCTGATTCATCTAGATTGACATTAAAAGCTGTGTGTGTCAGAAGGATGCCACCTCCTCCATATATACATTATCACTTAGAAGAAAAACAATTAGTTTGACGCTAGCAGAATACTTACTTTTTTGTGGTCACATAAAGCCAGCATTAAAAATGTGAGTCTGTACTATAATTAACTTTAAAGTGACAGCTGTCATGCCACACATTTCCTTTCTTAAATGAATAACATAAGAAATGTTTCCCTTATGTTGGGAAGGATGGGAAAGACCTGGAAATCCGATGCTTTTGATAATACTTAGCTCAATTTTTTTTGCCTAGCTCAGCATATTAACAGACCTCGTGACACTCATAATTGGAGAGGAAATTTCATTCAAATTACTTCTGCTTGGTATTTCAATATGGCCTTAGGACTAAAGCACTGCTTGGGGGAGAAAAAATTTCCACCTTATCTTCTGAAAATCTCTTTATGACAGTAGTCTGTTGGATTGCATGGATATGTAATGGGTATTTTGCTCACTAATGGATGTGTTTTGGGGAGCTTCCAATACACTCTCCATTACAGGATATTTGCACTACTTAAATACAATGAAAGAGGCTGGTCCAATCAATTGAAGGAAGGTCCTCCTAAAACCCCCAAATATTCATAATGATTCAGGCAATCCACCTGGACCATTTGTAATTTCTAGTTTAGAATCTAGTGGGATTCTGTGTAACTCAATTTTTATGTTCATTTTGAATACTGTTGACAGTTTCCCTGCTTGACTAAAACCCAGGGAAAAGGTCTTAGAGGGTTAACACTGAAGTTTTGAGCCTTGAAAGCTTTTTGTTCAGATCGAAACTGTCTTGTATGAACATTTGGCTATTGCCCAGGACAAACCAGTTTTTCAAGTCAAAACTTCTGTGGAGAGGAAACGAAGCAACACACAAGTTGCAGACAATTTCATGAATTATTTGGATCCTTCACATGAACGAGACTGCTGAGTATAAAATAATTTTGCACTGGTGTTT